AGGATGAGGAATTCCCGGCTGTTTTGGGGATGGAATTGCTGCACTTAAGATCCTTTAACAGCAGCAGCACTTCCCATGGCCGGAGAGGAAAGGAATCCCTGGRATCCTCTGAGTGAATCCAGAACAAATCAATCCCTGGGATCTTCGGGATGAATCCAAGGCAAATCAGTCCCTGGGATCTTTTGGATGGATCCAACCCCAAAGCAATCCCCGGGATCCTCGGGATGGATCCAGAGGAAAGCAGCAGCCGTAGGTGTCCGTGCCAAGCACATTCCAGCTACACACCAGGATGGAAAAAAAGATCAGAACTGGGGGTAAAAAAGTGAATTCGAGGATATTTGTAGAAATTTAACCTCATCCGCTGCCTCGTGGCCCCTGCAGAGGTTTTTCCCAAGGAAGGGTTGAATCCCAAAATCCCAACAGCACCCAGGGCTGGAAAACTCCGCCCCCAGAGCATTCCCAGCCCTCTTCCCATGGGAAAGGACACGTCACGCTCCAGAATGCAACACAACCAAAGATTTCCATTAAACCACAGCACTTTTATTCTTTATTTCCAGTTCTTGTGGCAGCGAGAAAACTCCAAAGGATCTGGGACCTTGCACATGGCACCAGGAGCTGCATCCAGGCACTGACACTGGACCCTGCACCCCAAAATTGAGATCCTGCACCCCAAAACTAGGATGCTGCACCTCAAAACTGGGACCCTGTACCCCAAATTGGCACCCTGCACCCCAAAACTGAGACCCTGCACCCCAAAACTGAGACCCTGCACCCCAAAATTGAGACCCTGCACCCAAAAACTGGGCCCCTGCACCCCAAAATTGTGACCCTGCACCCCAAAACTGGGACCTTGCATCCCAAAATTGGGCAGCTCCTACTTTTCCAAGGGTACTTGGCAGCCCCGAGATCCTCGTGRTGCTTTTTGAGGAGGAGTTTGCAGGAATTTTGTTCCGTTCATTGTAATTCCATAACTGCACCTGCTGGGCCTCAGTGTCCAGGGAGAAATCATGGATTCCTTAAGGTTGGAAAAGATCTCCAAGGTCAAACCCAATCTTGGACCAAATCCCACTGAACCACACCCCCAAGTGCCCCCTGGGTCCGTTTTCTGGGCACTGCCAGCGATGGTGATCCCACCCCTGTGGGTGTTTAAGCACTTTTCCAGCTTGGAATTCTTCCCAGATATCCAGCCTGTGTCCCCGTGGTGGAGCAGAAAAGGAACTGTCCCCTCCCGGGAGTGGGAGATGGGAGAGGTGACACGAAGGAGCTGCAGGGTCGGGGAGAGCTCGCAGGGACCCCGTGCCGGATCCAGGCAGGCTCTGGAGGGGGTTCCTGGGATTCCGTGGCCATCCCAATTCCCTGGGGATCCCAAACAGCCCTGGTGCCGCTGGTGCCGCCGATTGAYGGTGGTGGGACGTGCCCGAGCTCTCCAGGCTGGACACGACCCCCCCCGCAGGGCTATTCCCACCGGGAATTGCGCTCCGGGCTGGAGCTCCGCGCCTCCTCCTTCCCGCGGATCAGCGCCGGGGCTGGGGCAGAGGCGGAGCCCCCATCCCGGGCGGTCCCTGCCCCTCCTCTCCGCCCCACGGTCCCCCCAGCACCGCCGCGATCCCCTCCAGCCGCAGCTCCCGGGGTCGGTGCTGGAGGCGGTGCGGGAGCCCCCGGCAGCGGGGCCGGAGCGCGGGGATGGAGCTCGGGGRCACGGAGGAGCCGGGATGGGGACGWTCCCAGCTCAGCCCGGCTTTGGGARCTCCAGGAGGATCGTGCTCGAGGATTCCCGGCTCCYCTGGCCTTGGAGAGCAGCCCTGGACACACATCCCTGTCCCGCGGGGACACCTGAGGGACATTCACCGCACACTGCTGGACACGGAGCCTCCGGGAACGATCCGGGGGTCCCCGAGGCTCTCTGAGACCCCAACCCCCTCGAGACCCGGCCACCCGAGCCCCAGCCCAGCGCTCCAGGGGCTTGGGGAGCCTCGGAGCAGGAGCTGGGGATTCACCTGGCTCAGCCGCTCCCGCGGAGCTCCGGGCGCTGGGGCTTTCTCGAGCCGCTGCCGCTGCTGTCCCTCCTGCGGGGACAGGGACACGGGCACCGCCCCGGGGGCTGGAGCGGGGCTGACATCCCCTCCCCGAGCTCCCAAGGGAGGGCTCCAAGGGTGAGGAATGGGGGATCCTGCAAGGGCTCCGGGCCATTCCCACACCCTCCCACATCCCTGAATCACCTCCTCCGTGTGTCCAGCRGCTCCCAGGGCTCCCTCCACCCGCTGCCACTGCCCGAGGCGCCGCTGGATGTGCTGCCGGAGCCCCCGCAGGACGCGGAGCGCGTACCTGGGGACAGCAGGGACGAGCTGGGACAGCCGGGGAGGGGGAAAGGCCGCCCCCGAGGGCACCGAGCGGCTCCTCCAGAGCGGTGCGGAACCGCCCGTGCYCCCCTGGGCAGCTCCGGCCAAACCCCGAGCTCTGGGACCCACCCGAGAGCTGCCGGCGAAGGTTCCCCGGSGCCGCTGGGGCGGGGGTCGTGTCCCCACGGGGCCACCGGGAGGGTCCCCGCGGCCGGGGAGCGCCCAGCCCGCCCCGGCCCCGCCGGCTCCCGAGGGCGGCTCCGGAGATGCTGCCCCTGGACGGCGCTGCCGGCCCGATSCTGGAAGAGCAGAGCGGGATCGGAATCGGAATTGGGGCAGCCCCAGCTCCGCCCTCCGAGCCCCCTCAGCCTCTCCCGGGAAATATTTGGAGCCCGGTCAGAGCTTCCAGGGAAAGCGCGGAGCCGCCGAGGGCTGAGCAGAGGCTGGGCAGGAGCAGAACAAACCCTGAGCCCCCCGAGCCACCCCCAGCCCAGCCCAGCCCGCGCCCCCGACCCCGCTCCCCGGGGAGGGCAGAGCCTTTGGGTGCCCCAGAGGAGCCGCACATCGGGGCTGCTGCGTCCCCTCCCCTCTCGGCTGTGCCCTGCCGGCTGCCCCGCAGCTCCACCGCTCCCTGCTCCCCTCCMGGACCTGCTCCAGGGCCTCCTGCAGCTGCCGAAAGGTCTCCGCCCTCTCCCGCTGGAGCAGCCCATGGAGCTGGCGCAGCACCCGCAGCCTCTGCTGCAGGAGGGAGCGGCTGCCCCACTCCAGCTCCCGCAGCYTCTGCGGGAGAAGCGCGGTCACCGTCACCCCTTTGGCCGCCCAGGGCCACCCTCCCGCTCCCGAAAGGCCCTTCCCGAGGGTATCGGCCGGGCAGGATGCCCAGGTCCCTCCCGGCCAGGGTGGCACCACCCCAGCCTCGATACCCACAGGAAAAGAGCCGAAGTTTGGCGGGGCAGTGCCAGGAATTCTCACCCGAGCCCTGCCTGCTTCCCTGCCCTTCCCAAAATTCCAGCTGCTGGGGTTCTCCAGGGACCCTCTGATCACCCCAACCTGCCTCCAGCCGTAAGAGCGGCTTTCCCAAGAAATTCTTTCCCCAAAAGCTCCCGCCTCTCCACAAAACCTCGCTGCGGGTAAATCCGCTTTGGCTCTTTAGGAATTCGGGCAGGATGGGATATTCCCCTTGGGATGCAGCATTCCCGCGGGATGGGCGTGCGTGGAGCAGGGGCTGAGCTGCTGCCAGGGCTGGGCTGTGTGAGCTCCTTCCCAMAGCCCCTCCCGGTGCCATCCCGGCCCCTCTGGGAAGCCGGGAGCGCTCTGACCTCCAGCAGCTCCAGCTTCTCTTCCCGTGAAGTCGCYGCTCTCCTTTGCTCCTTGTCCAGCYTCTCCCAGCCCAYAGAGGTTCCCTGCTCCTGCTGAGACTGGAAAATCCTCCTCTTTTCCCATTTTGCCCCGTTTTTGCCTCTCCCAGGCTCCAGCTCGGGCCCTCCCATCACCCCCAGCAGCAGCCGCTCCTCCCGCCCCGAGCAGACTCGGGCCCAGCACAGCCCCTCCCGTTTGTCCCCACTTGGGCCATCCGGGGTCACCTCACCGTGCTCTGCAGCTCSGTGTGGCAGCGCTGACGGGTGTCCCAGGCGTGTCCCAGCAGTGCCAGGCCAGCCCTGTGCCAGGGACGCTGTCACCACACCSTCGGCCCTCGGGATGCCCTCCCCTCCTGGGCTCCGGGGCCATCTCCCGCTTCGGCCTCGGCGCAGGTGCCACTCCTGGAGCCCCATCCGTACCTGGCTCTGTCCCCGTGGCTCCGGGACTCGGCACCCGATCCCGACTCTCGTGTCCCCTCCCGGCTCCTCCGCAGGRACCGGCGCGGTGACACCGCCACCCCCTAGCAGCCAGCAGGGGGTTATAGACCCCTCTGCTCCTTTGCCAGGGCATTTCCAGGGCCAGCCTTGGTCTCCCGGACACATCCCAGCGCTCCCCACACCCCAAGAGTGAGCAGAGCCAGGAGCTTCGTGCATCCATCCCATCCCATCCCATCCCATCCCATCCCATCCCATCCCATCCCATCCCATCCCATCCCATCCCATTCCAGCCAGGGCTGTGCCCGTGGCAGACCCCAAACCCCAGACCCCAGGGCTGTACCTGGCAGAGCAGCCCCACTTTCAGGTCCCCACGCAATCCTGGGGACACGGGTGTCCCCCATTGCCCGTGGACTCCTGCTGCTGCTCCAGCACCTGGGGGAAAAGGGTGTTTTGGGATGGAGGGAGCCCCCAAACCACCCCAAACTCCACGGGCAGCTGGGGCTGACCCCTGCCACCGTGTCCCAGCCCTGCCACCATACCCCTGGCCCTGCCACCGTGCCCCAGCCCTGCCACCCGGCTCGGCCCAGCCCTCCCCCGTCCCTCAGCCCCGCAGCCAGCCCGGGCTCACCGTTCCTGCCGCCTGCTCCTTCCCTGTGCGGGTCACCCACAGCCGGGGTGACATTCCCTGMGCGTCCCCAGAGAGCTGCTGGCTCCTGTCGCCTCGGGCCCAGGGCCTCGCTGGTGGCATGTCCCCTGTTTCTGTCACTGGTTAAACTGCTGCCAGGGAAGCCCGTCCTTGTGCCAGCCCTGCTCCTGCCCGCAGAGATCCCCACAGTTCTCCAGGARCACCCGGGCAAGGCCGTGGCCACCGGGTCCCCACGGGGACAGCGCCTCCGGCCCAGGGCTGGCTGGGCACAGGGGACCCGACCGGGAACCCCCCAGACCATCCCCACGGGGCTCCGGCTCAGCCGGGAGATCCTGGCTCCCAGAGACTCCAGGCTCCCCCTCCTCCTCCTCGGGGATGAAGAGCTGTCCCTGTCCCTCCAGGAGAGCCCGCCCGGCTCCGTGACTGGCGGTGGCCGCACATCTCGGCTTCCCCCTGCGGGCACCGAGGGCTCCTCCTGCCCGGGCCGAGCTCCCTCGTTGGGGACACCCCCAGCGGGCTCCTCCCGGCTCAGCAGGGGCTCCACCATTCCCTCCCAAAATGTGGCAGCCAAGTCCTCGGTGCAGACGGAGCTGTCGCTGCTGCGGTGGCCCGGGCTGGGCGGGGAGCGCGGCAGCTGCAGAGGGACAGGGCTGTCACCCCGGGCACGGCGTCCTGGCGGCTCTGTGGGGACAGCAGAGCCATCAGCGGCCCCGCGGGAAGGAGCCATCCCGTCCTGCGGGATTTAAGGCACCTCGGAGGGGCCGGCAGCTCCCGC